ACCCCTCTCGAACTCGTTGCATCCAGTCTTGAATTGTGATCGAGCTCAGGTATTTTCACCATGCCTCCAATTCATAAATAGCGTCCAAAAGTCATGTTGGACAACACGAGAGTCCGCCCTAGGGCTCTCGAAAAATTACCTGGCCTCGCTCAGTCTTTGAAATGCGCGGAGATGGGTCAGGCCGTTTCGAAAGGGAAGGAAAAAGCCCTTCCTACCGTCAACAAGCCCGATACTGACATGATCGGGTCAGATGAAACTGTTGAGGAAATTCCTCAACGAGCCTCGGTGACCCATGGGATTGGAGAATCGTCTAAATTTCCTCCAGCCGAACCCAAACCGTCGGAGAAAGCTGTACCGAAAGAAGCTTCAACGAAAGAGTCGTAGCCTCAAGCTGCCACTTAAGCAGAATTCCCTTTAGAACTTCGACTGATCCTCGAGGCCGAAGAACGACGCGCCGCCGAGACAGCGGCAAATCTGGCACTATGTTCCGCCGCCATCTCTGGCGTTGAAGCAACCCTTCTTCCTTTGACCAACGGGTCAAACAGACTATTCGTAGATCCCATGAGAGTCTACCTACGCGCTGCCATTGCGCAATACATGGCCACGAGCCCGGCCACTACGCCACCCGTCCTCCCTTCTCGCCCAGCGAACCCTCCTCCGAGAGTTCCTGACGCCAGGAGCCAAACGATACCCACCGTCCTAGCGCTTCCCATCAAAAGCACCAGGGCCACGGTAGCTAAAAACGGACTGCCATAAAAAGCAGTCCCTTCAGTAAAAGCTGTGCCGCAGCCCGCGTCCAAAATCCCAAAGAAAGACACTCCTAAGGCGAAAGTCGACAGTCGAATTTTCATTCGTCTCGTTAGCGAACACCCCTAGAAGAGATTGTCTCCCCAGCGTGCACGGACTGCAATCCAGGTGCAAATCGATCGCAGTTTATATCTGACTGACTCCGTACACCGAATCGGGACCGGTTTCGCAATCGCGACAGCCAATGAAGAATTGAGACAGTGTTGTAAAGGTAAGAGCCTACGGAGGTTTATTGGCAGAAGGCTTATGGATGATTATCGATGAATCAATTTGAACTGCTGATATATTTGGTATTCAGAACTATGAGGATTTAGGAGGTAGAAAGCACTAATTATATTCACATCTGGGTTGGATGGTGCAGTAGTATACCATCTGGGCAGTTCTCCCAAGTCGATAATGAGTAGCTTGAACACCTACTCCATTCGAAAAAGGAGAAAGCTGGTTCGAATCCAGTCAGACTCACACACCACTCTCTCTCTCGCGGTGATACTGCACTTGTGGGTTAATGAAAGCACACTCGGATAGCCACAGATTTTTCACGCTTTTCCTTGTAGTGGGTATGCATGGAAGGGGTTATACGCTGTAAGGGTTAACCTCGAGTGGTACCTGCAAATGAAATCTGAATGTGAGTGTTTTATATGTCAAGTTGAGTCATCCTACTTAAAGTACATATCTTCCGATAAAAACCTGCTTGGGTCTCAAGGCGCCAAATCAGGATATTGAATTATATATATATACACATCTGAGGTAGCTAAACTCTCGCCTTATTTCCCAAAACAGAATCACGGAATATTCTAGTCTCCTCCATCTAGTGGTATTATCTAGAAACACTTTCCATAAAGTGCTCCATTACTCTTCTACTCATCATGGAGCCACCTGGAAAGTTCATCACCCTCAGTGACCATTATCCTTGTGCATTGTAATCCTATCCATCACCAGCACAACAGGAAGAAGGTCCTGGATGCCTCTCCGACCCTGGAGAGTATGAAAATCAAAGTTGAAGAGGCTTTTGATCTAGTCTCCTTACGGTTACCAAATGTACCCGTAAATATTTTACTAAAACGCGGCCCGGTAACGGTCACAGACTGAGAGGTCACAAGCAAGATTTTCTGATACACTGGGCTTCCGCCAACCAAGGTGCGACCTCATAAAACGCACCTGAGTTGCTCTTTTCCCTTGGAGCTCCGCCCCTCGTGCGGGCTTCGGAATCTTTGAAGAGTCTGGTTTGGTTACTGTTGGAAAGTGTGTATGGGTTCTAAGAGGAAACTCACTCAAAGAGTATAGGCACAGCTTCAAAGTACTTCGTAGTAGTTCAATCAAATAAATTATTCACGTAAATCGTTCATATTATATTATATTATACGTCAGAATACTAAAGAGTGTACATCTAGGTTTCTACATATTACTCGTGTTCTTTGTCTGACGCTAAAGCCAATTCAGTCTAGTGCAATTGTGCGCTAAGTTATTCCTAAGCAGCCTTGCCGATCATCACCGACAATTGTGTAGCTCTAGAGTAAGCAACTGGTGCGAAATTCCAACAGTTACCAAGCTAAAGCCTCGGCAAAGAATCAAGCTGTGCCACCGCTGCCTAGGCTTCCACGCCCCTTGTGGTCGCTCCCGCGCTCCGGTCTGTCGGAATTGCGGTTCAAATATGTATTCTGAAGAGGAGTGCAAGGCCTCCACTATATGTCAAAATTGTGGAGGACCTCACCGATCTGACTCACGGGGCTGCCAAGCCAGACCTAAAAAATCGGGCCGGTAAAGAAAGAGCAGCTTGCGGTAATTCGACAAGTTGAGCAATGGAGGTTTACAGAAGCAGCCCGAGCAAGAGCTGCAGCCAAAAGGGTAGAGGAGGCGATTTTCGCCTCAAACAAGGACGTTTCTATAGCGGGGGTATCGGGCTTCGGAGATGGCGACCTCGATATCGCCCTACAGGCAATTATTAATCAATAGCAGGAAACCGGCTTTATCAATGGTACTGGCTAACCCATCTCTTGCCCTCAGCAGAGATCGGAAAAGTTGTCATCTGAAAGGTATTAGGAGCGCATTGTTTGGGCTCAATGTGGAAGAATCTTCTGACTTTATGGGTGTTTTCATGTTGTTTTTTTATATTCTTGCTTTCGGTTTTCTCATAATTTGCTGCAATAATGGTAGCGATTCGCGCGGTTGGAATGAGTGGGCCGTATAAAAGAACACAAGGATCCCTGCCGGCTCCTCCGGTCCTATATCCCATAGATGGACGTAGAGCTTTAGCTAAGGACCTTAATAAAACAACAACAATAACAACAACAACAACATAATCATGAGAGTGCGAGTATATCCTTCTGTCGAATAGTAGGACACAAGTTTTGTTTGGATGTGCATAAACAAGGATGCTGGAGTTTGGGCGGTAATAATGATTATGAAGATGTAATAACAAATGGGTAATAATTAGTAATAGCTATGTAAGAATATATCATGTGACGAGTGTTCAAGGTCATTAAGGCTCTGGCGCTCCGTCACAAATGAAGATAGATACGAATGAATGAAATAATTGTTATTGAGTTACCTCAAACAAAGAATGCATAGGAAATATTCCGACACCTTCATACCTGTCATCTGGCTACCCGGTAACGTCAATCATCGCTTGTTCGAAAATTTTCATCGCTATTATGACCTCTGTCAGGCGCAGGTTCACTAGGCGCAAGACTTGAGGCGTAAGGGATAGCGTAGCGTACGAGGTACTGAGGATGGACGCCACGTGGGAACGCCGAGGGCTTTCTAGAAAGGTAATAAAGGAGAACGCGGGGAGTCGTTCTGGATAAAGTAGCTGGAGGTGACGGTAGATCACTATGGGTGGCAGAGGACGAGAGTGAGATGTAATTCGAATTATGTAACTTTTCCTGATGACAGAAAACAAAGCGTGAAGATCTCAGTCTCGAAAATGAAAACTATTAAAGTTCTAGGGGGTATCTGGAATGATAGAAGTGAACGTTGACCGTCAGTTCAATACTGTACGAATCGTAAGATATTGGGGGTTAAGGGATCAGAGATAAAAGGTTAGGATCAGTGAGGTTTTGGTTTTACTGAACTTATATTTCGGTAGTTAAAAGTGTTAATGTTTAATCTACATCTAATTGTCTATCTTTTTTTTTTTTTTTTTTTTTGCATCAGATTTTAATTGCGTATGCAGCTATCTAGCTATGACACAATATCAGAGAAAAGTACAGAAAAGATGACTCAGTTTATAATAGGAGCACTCATGCCTCGGATTTCATTTGCAAGTACCACTGCGAAGTTATGGTGGCTTTTTCTTCACCCCAAGTCAACCCTCATCCGTGAATACCCACCCAGGGGAACGTCTCAAAAACCCTGAGTTATCCAGACATGCCTCTGTCATCCATCAACTTTTCTCCGCGCGAAATGTAATCTGAGATGTCTCCTTCCCAAGTGGAGTAGGTGCCAAGGCTACTCAAACCATACCAGAGAACATCACCAGGAGGCGGACCACAACACCTTCCATCGTTTGCTTGTTTTTATAGTGTCAGCTGCACTCTCGCAAGCGAAGTCTTGGCGCGCACAAAGCCCAATTCGTAAAATTCTTGCCAAATTTCAAAATTCCACGCCCGTCGAAAACGTATCCCTCTTCTGCATCATCTTGTGAACTTGTCCTGATCCCTCTCACGTCCGTCCCAAAGAGCTATCTCCCAAAATTGTGCTCCACGCTTTGCTTCCTCCGTCGGGTATAAATATCGGCGTGGGCGTGTATTTGGTGACCGGCTGAGGTCAGAGAAAGTCGACGAGAGGTGTGGTCATTGAAACGAGGATGTACTAGGTCGTACTTGTAGACTTGATGAAGCTTAGTTGAGAATCGGACTCTTTGGGTGTGAAAGATTGACATGGTGGAGTAATTTGAATTTTTGCCTCGTGGGCCAACTTCTTTGATATTGCGAAATTTGACTGAACTTGGCTCTGGAAGAATATTTCACTCCCAGGTTCGTAGAGGACACCGCGTACAGGTGTTCAGTCTTGCCCTCCTAATTGTCTATCTATGTTCTACCTCGCTTAGGTAGAAACATTGTGTTCTGATTACGTGATGGAAAAACATTCACACCACCAAGATCATTAAAGCTGGTAGCGATCGAAGATGAGTAGTCTTCGTCTACTCCGCACTGCGTGCAGTTCGGTCTGGCATGTCTAGATTTCAACAAAAACTACATAACTGTCCTCGCTAAGCAATAAGGCCAAGTGGGACTAAAAAAGGAACCCCATTTTTTGGAAGCTTTTCTGATTCCTTTGATGAGCACAACGAATTTTCTAGCCCTCTCGAAGTTCTCCAGTAAACTTGACTGGAGCTTCTCTGCGTTATATGCCTCTGTGCCTATGTGCGCGATTGAGATGAAGGACAGCTGAGAGACACATTTCTGGAAAGCGTACAGATGGCCCTGGTACCATACAATTATCTTCAAAAAGTCAATATCTCTAAACTTTTTGTCGGGTTTTTGGTGAGTTTCATCGTAGACCTGATCAGGCAAGAATATCCGCTTTATATCTACCGGCACATCTGCATCAATCCATTTATTCCCACTACATGTTTGAATTGCAAAAATCCCATTTTTCTCCATTGTGGCCGGTTCTTGCCGGAAATTCAAGCTGAAAACTTGGTGCAGAGAACAGTGATTACTCTTAATGAGTTTTTCCAGTGATATGGCCGACGTCGAATCATAACCAATTGATAACTGTTGAATGTGAGCTAGACACGGCCCAAGCTCTTTGTTTGGATTAGGTTGTAGTTGGCGATTCCTAACCTAATTGTGTTAGATTGCAGGCTTCTGTCTTAGGTATTCATGGGTTCGTAATTAAGGTTATTGTTAAGGTTTAGCTTCGGTTATCTCACTGATTACCGAGCGGGCAGCATATCAAGGAGGCATGTAGCTCAGGTGGAAGTATTGTACGGTAAACTATATCTGAAGCTGCAACATATTGTAGTAGCTAAAAGAATACTACTATTCGGAAACTACAGCTCCAACCTAGAACCATGAGATAAATCAGACTATGCACGCTAGATATAGAATGACTAGCGGATATGGTGAATATGGGGGTAAATACGTAGATATATAAAGACATAGTAGCCTCTAAATTGTAGGACAAGTCTTCTACAATATTATATCGAAATCAATACTAGCCTCTCATTAAGCAATCTCATGAATCTATTTCCGTGTCTGTGATAACAGAACAAAATACAAAGTCGACGATCAAGTTCAAAGTCGATTACTCTTCCTCCTTGACACCAAAGTTGATATGAGAAATGGGCGTGATATCGTCGTGGCCAGTAATGATGGCTGCCACTATATCTTTCATTTGAACGTTGAAGGAACAGTTTGCCCTTACATGTGTCCCTAGAGCGCTGGCTGAGTACTTGGTCATCACTATACCACGTCCCGAGCTGATCTCAGGAAACTTGTCAGGGATCAGAGGTCTATAGACGCCATAGTGAGAAAAGGCATTCTCAGCGCCTAGAACTACTGAGCGGCCCATTCGACTCAATGGCTGTTGTGGGATTAAGAGAAATGCGTAGGCACAGTGCATAGTGATAGGATGTATCTGACTGTTGCTACGTCAGAGAGGTGAGCTAGCTAGTGCTGTCGGTCAATTGAAAGGCAAAAATAGCCGTTTTTTATGATTTTCTGCGTTCGGATTAAACGCCTTGAGGCTTGTGCTGAAGAAGCTACCTCTGAGATATTGAGTAATTTAAGGTAAAAAGTTTTCAATTCTGATGATTGTAATGAATAGGAGCAGGCAAACTAGTTATTAATTTGGTGACACCACGTGATTGAATCAAAATCTGCAGCACATACGAGTTATCTAGGCTGGCTCATGTAATGTTTTAGACTACACTAATATAGAGGTCGTAAAGAGTACCGGCTTGCCGGCCTTTAGATTAGCAGCACCTTTGAGCGGATTTCACTTAATTGCCATATGAGATCTCGGAGTCCAAAATGGTTCTGTGTATAAAGAGGCTCTATGCGTAGGAGCCAAGGTATTCATGACTCGGCTTGCGTATGCCTTTCTGTTCCACTGATACTATTGCGGGTATTTTTGCTTTTATTAGATTAGTTCCCAAAGCTAAAGCTCCAAGTCTACTTTGGGCCCAGCACCGATGGAGCCAGCGAGGATCTCTGCGTATTGGCCCAACTCACTCCAACTGCGTGAAGTTCTACAGAAAGCACCGAAGTTGAGACTAAAATCATAACGTAAATCAAAATTAAATTTACCTTCTTCCTCCGGATCCTGCGTCTCTCGCCTGTTCCTTTCCCAGTCACATCTTCCAGGAGACTTCTTTTGATCTGGGCTGAGAGCGACTGATAAGCTCGCATGAACCTGCCCTGGGCGGCTGGTTGTGTGCTCTGCATTATTGAAGCTTTCGTACATTTTAGTAGGGGCCGACGCACCCTCATGTTTCTTCTTCAGACTCCAGAACTCCGAAGCACGACCCCTCTGACACAGAGGAGTCCCTTGCATGGGTGTTGTGACACGCTAACAATAGCAAGCATGAACTCAAGGTTGGAAAGCGAATTAAGCTATAGAGCGATGCTCGGTCTAAGAATTATATAAATAATATGTGAGGAATTAAGCGAGTAGTAATGTATTCTTGGTGCCTCCATTACGCCAGACTGCCGTAGGTATCACACTCCAACTCTATATCTGAAGAGTAGGTGCCTAGCCACTTAACGAGAGGCGAGTATCGCTTCTTTCGCCCTTTTAACCGCCGCCAAGGCACGGCCCGCTTTGAAAGAACTACATCTGCTTGACCTCACGAATCGCTGCGGGCTACTCTTAGTGAACCCTCTGGAAGAGTGTTGAAAGAGATAGAGGATCACTTGAAGCAGAGCGGAGAAGAGTGAATTGGATATTTGTTTATATATAAAAAGATATCAATCAAGACTATAATAAACGACGTAATAATATAATTAAGTAAAAATCAGTAATTAGTAGTAAGCCATCATTTACGCTGTATTCTCTTGTCACAGAAGTAGAGCCACATTAGTACCTGTTCGTGCAAATCTTACAGGAGAAATGGGACTAGAGTGTAAATAGTGGATGTAGGGATTGCGCTGGGAACCGTTACGTAATGAAGGTAATCGTTACTAAAAGGATTATTATTAAAATATACGTACTCTGATCACTTGTATAACTTGATAAGAGACACTGCACAGCAAATGTAAGGCGTAGATGAATCAGCATTGAATTGATATCCCACAGTAGTGATATGAGTTGGGTCTTATAGAAGTCCCCATCCACCAAACTGTGTTCCAATTATCTACAATATTCTAAACGTGTCTCATTCCCTCGTATAACTGAGAAGCACTCTGTCAATGACTTGTGTCATCAAAGAATGACTACTCCTTCACTTGACAGATCGTCTCTACGACTCGTCGCTTACATTACTCGGTGAGTACTAACTGACGCGTCTGTTGTCCAGACAGTGCACGGCTCGTAACTAAGCGAGTCGTGTAACCCGATACTGGAGTTTCCACGTTCTATCCACTAGGACATGGTCTGTCTCTCCAACTATTATGCTTCATTTTCCAACAAAGAGAAATACTTGAGATTGTATATATAGATATTCTTCAGCCATAGAAATTCTCTCTTCAAAAAGGGGCTATTCTCAACATCTGTCAGTGGTGTCCCCTACGAGACTCCAACTCTCCCTGTAAAGCCTACAGTGCCGAGATTGAGTAACAAAGTCCTCACTTCGACGAGGATTCCCAATCGCTTTCGCGGTCTATATCGTCTTTATCCCTCAACACATCCCCCTATCACTTCTATTATGAAGCTAACCATGATCATATCAGATGGTAGGGTCGAAGCCCTTCTCATCACATACCCTTCATCATGGAGGAGAAACCATCCGATGAGTTTCGGAACATACCCAACTGTAAGGGTTTAATGAATTCAGATGTACTTGAAAGACAATAACTCGATAGGAATTAATAACTTCTTCCTTGATGAGGCAATCTACCACGTACTCTTCCATCCCTTATAAGCTCTGCGTAGACTAGTCTCAACTCCCTCCATTGGCCACCTGAGAATCATTCTTTCTCTCAGGCTCATCTATTCTCCTGTACCATATCTCCCATCTGGTACGTGCCATCCTTGATACCTCCTTAGCGACCCATTCACATTTCCGTGAGCGTTGCTCTGCCACAGCCTAAACACGAAGACGGAGTGGTCCTAATGACCAGTCCCAATCTGGGGGAAAGCCCGTCACAGCCTATGAGGAATAACATAAATGAAAAGTGATTTATGATCCCCCACGCCACGTTGATGAAATCGTCATAAAAGTAAAGGCAAATAATATTATCAAGGATAAAATGGTATCTTGTCAATCGTCCCTGCCTCTTCGGAGGAGAGCAGTGGGACAAGCCGTAATTCAAGTTTATCCTAGAATCTAACCTGCTCAAAACCGAAAAAAGTTCTCCCACAATTCAATTTTATCACACATAGTTCGATTTAGTTGGATTTTTTCTTATGCAGGGAGGCAAACAGCAGCCAAGCTTCAACACTTACTACAAAGGAACTAGATTGAAATTTTAAGACGTTATTGTTTCCGAGGCGTAGGCGTTACTAGTCAGTAGATCAGATCCGACCAAAATTTATTATTTAACATGTTTTTAATGGTTTGTAGGATTCATCTATTGTCTTTGATTTAGAAAATTTCATCTTCGTCTCTTTTAAGTCGCCAACTAAGGGAGGAAAGTAAATACCTCTTGTACCAAATACGAGACTGTCTAGATTCATTTATTTTTATGACAATTATTTTATAAACTCCTAAAAAAATATACACATATACCTCAAATAGAGACTCAATTTAGCTTAACATTCAGTATACTGAAGAGGTTCGGATTGATCTCAATGCGAAGTGTTTCTCGATTTTAACGAACAGTTGGAGGTTTTATGCTTTACACCCACCAGTTAGTAGCGACAGAATACACATTTTCAGATCTATGCCACAACAAGGGATGTTAAATTTAGGGGCTGAAAGTTTGGCGAGTAGAGACAGAATAGGTTCGTGTAGATTAAGTGATGCCGTGTCTGCTGAACGAAATCGAATCACGACGAGGAAGTTTATAACTTACAGAGAAGGTTGGATGTCAGGTCAAGCTCTAAATTCAAGAAGCTCCCAGGAGCGTATTGACACGAATAAGCGATCGTCGCTTCTGCCTAGCCCATATTTTTGGACGAATCAAAGTGACAAGTGGCAGATTGAAAGTTATGACGGCCAATTTGCCACGGCTGAGACCGAAACTCATTCTCAAAATAATAAACAAGATCCTGCCAAATTTCGTAAGTTGCAGGTTATTCAAGATAAAAATTTTACGTCGAAACCTTCAACTTTGTGTTGGAGAGTAAGTGGCGAGCCCTCTATTACAGAGGAGACAAACAGTGACACTCTCGATAAAATTATTGAAGGCTATCAAGACGATGTGAGTTTTAAAGATAATCATCTAGATGATTATCGAGAGGTTTTTAGGGAGCAAAAATATAGTCCATATCCCAACTTAAAACGGGCTTTGCGAAGGTCTGTGGATACCTATATTTTTAATTCTTCGAATAAACTCAGTCACAAGGATAGAAAACTTAGAAGAGATACAGTTCCCAGCACTAGAAATGACGATCCTGATTCTGAGAACCTTGTGGAGGAGCAGAATACCTTGTCGAGTTTACCCGGTGTAACCGATTGGCACCCATCGAGACCAGCGCAGCTCATACCATTGAAAGGAATAAATGGCGTTCGACTAAATAAGTCTATAGAGACTGCAAAGTACCAACAAGACAAAAAAAGAATAGCAAATGACAGAGCCCCACTAGAGCGAAATGTTAGTCGCATGTTACGTCGAGAGAGTTGTTTGAGTTCTTATAGCTTTAATAGTACAGTCACAATACCAGAGCAGCGTCAGGCCGACTTGAACTATCAAGGAAACATTGGTATTTCTGTAAAAAAACAGAAAGCTACAAATGTTAGGCCACATTTTCAAACTACTATGAATCAAGCTGTACCAGAGTTTTACGACCCAGAGGAACTCTTTTTTTCTCCAAAGCTTGGAGGTCCAGCTGGAGCATCTCAGAACTTTGATCTCAAGATGGATGATGACACTACTGAATGGGAAACTGTTAGAAGTAGTATTCTTGATTACTCCGCAGGCTGTTATGAAAATTTAACAGGCTGTGAAGCTGTGCATGGTAGTATCTTCGCCCCATCTTCAGGAAACAGTAGATGCTCTTATTCAGGATATCTCAATGAAGGAAAGATAAAACGCTGTGGAGATAGTATCGCTGATGTATCTGATATCGAGGATGCCCTAGATGCCTCAAGTACGCGGTGGTCGTCTCACATTGAAGACGTGCCAATTAAGAATGTGCAGCAGAAAGGGGTTTTGCACCCCGATCTAAGCGAGCGACAGAATATATTTGAAGTAACAGCCTGCCGAAGGCTCAAAATAAAGGAAATACTAGCTCGCCTGAACTCGTTTTGTGCGAAATCGAAAATTTCGAGCAGCAGCCATGTACTTAAAAGAATTTTCCCATCTTCATTCAGAAGACCTCTCCAAAATAGCTCCAAATTAACGGTAAAATCTGAGAATGTATTTCGGATCACAGAATACGAATTACCATTCAGATCTACCTCTAGGTCTAGAATAGACACTTCTCCTCAGCTACTTGACCAGCAGAAAGAGGCAAGTTATGAGCATGAAGTTTTGAAAAATAATGATCCTGAGTTAGGAGGAATTTTATCGAAATTTTCGGACAATATAAAAAATTTTAGCAATAATTATAATGAGAATGAAGAAGGGCGGCAGCCAGATTTTTATGGTAGTAGAGAGATGGAAAACCTCACAAAGTATCCGAATATTTCTAGTGATTCACCGCTGCTTGTCGATCCCAATAAGAGTAGTCAAAATAAGGCTTCGAGTGACTTTTTCCCGAATAATTGGGACCAAAATTCCAGATTTACAAAAGAAAACTGTATTCTTGCGCATCGTAGAGATAACTCATGTTTCTCTTACCATGGAAAGCATTTTCAAATCAAAAAACATGAACAGATCACTCCTTATTCCGAGGAGAATTTCTTGTCAGAAGATATAGCAAAACCAACTATCAAAATTGAAAGTAAGGCAAAACTTTGTAGTCCAATCCATAAACCTGGAGGATCTGAGATAATAAAAACTTCTAATATTTCGCATGATCCTTTTTTCCGGTCTGGAAAAAATCGGTATTCAGTTCAGCAGGCGGATAGTCTTTTTTATACACGTAAGTCTTTTCCTGTCGAAGAGGACATAAGGCCTCCCGAAAAGGCTCGCATAAAGAACCAATCAAACCATAATCCCTTATCAGTGACATCTTTCTTGGATAAATGGAGGTTGATGTACTCTCCATCCGAATTTGAGAAGCTCCAGAGAGGAGAAAGCATTAGGAATGATAGAAATCAATATACTGATGATAGAAGATATGTTATTGCCAAAGAACAAAATTCTGCTATCTGTCATGGGGGCCGTTCACGACCTACATCGTTTGCTCCTACAGGTTATTCTTCGAGACTGATTTGCCATGCTGATAAGAATAATATTGCCTGTAACGGTTTAAACTCTGATACAGAGCCCTGTTCTTTTATCTTGTTACTCACTTGCTTCATACTCTCGCCAATTTTGCTGCCAATTTACACATTAGGAGGTTTTGACCGTTTAATATCATTTTTGACTCATGGAAAGTCATTGCGATGCAGCCAGAAATACAAACGCTGGGCACTGTGGGCCTGTCTACCCTCGTGGGTTATCATAGTAGCCGCAATTTTAATTGGCGTTTGGGTTGTCCGCCGAAAATAGTTCATGCCCGCGACTCTTTGATCAATTAATCGTTAATGGCTGATTCGGTTTACAATTTCAAGGTCACTGGAAATTGACAAGATATTATACATATTTGCTAGTGTGATATAGTTTAGATTTTTTGGTGAATAATTGCTGTTTCTATTCGTGGAGGCACACTCACCATCTTGCTTTTTGCACAATTTGTTAAGGACTAAGCTTGGTTCCGACAATTTATTGTGATACTGGGAGAAGATTCGGGATTTTCGATTATAGGTTACGTAGAAAAAGCTATATTCCCAGAAATAAAGCCAAGGCACTTTCAGAAATAAGTGTGAGGCTGTTGTAGAATGAGAATAGATCTCGACATATTTTTGGGTGTATTCGTTACAATTGAAATAATTGTAGGTAGAAGTAGATAAAAACAATAGCACTAAGTCCTGTACCGAGAGATGTCTAATTAGTGTATAAATGAAGAGGAGAAAATTTGTTGAAATTGAGCCTAAGGTATACATGGAGTAGAAAGCCTGAAAAAAATAAAAGCTGAATTATTCTTGTGGTTAGAGTATGATATTTCATCTTGGGAAAGATTTTTGTGGTGTGTTCATGAAGTAGAAGGACAGTAAATAGAATTTAAAAAATCTCATGGCATGGGACCTTCTCATCACGACCAACACGGGGAATAGTTGTTAAACAAAATTTTTAACTTTTAACTAGATTTTGTCTTTATATTAGAATCGTATAGCAGTTAATCTCTAGATTATGTCCCATCTCTAGACAATTTAGTATCAGCAGTGTCATTAGTATCAGCGCTGGGTAAGTTTGTATGAACAGGCACACGAAGCTGACGGCGACGGAGATCCGCTTCCTGACGTAGCTTGAATGCAGAGGGACTTTGATCACGTATAGAATCGTGGCCGAATGTAACAGGGCTATATGCCGAAAACTTATCGGGATCTGGAGGCGGCCAGGCCGAGCCAGGATCGTTAAAGCCATTAATTGGCCAGTGAACAGCAGTATCGGCTGACGGCGTGCTAGCCCAGGGAGTCCACCACAGCAGCACATTGGCTGTGCCCATGGCTTGACATAGGTTAGGCCAGAAGCCAATGTCGTAAGGGAATTCAAGGGGCTCGATGCGGAGACGATGACCGCCAGGCGCGTAAACGTAGCCGTGGCTGCGATGGGAGCGCGCCACAAGGACAGCGTGGCGGTCGATCTCGCCGCTCTCAATCATAGTAGTGTTGGTTAGGAGGCCATATACGACTCGTGCCAGCAAAAGTACGAGCAGGCTAAGCGTGAGGCCGGTTGTGAGAAGTAGTAGCCAGAGCAGCGCGAGCCGGTCCGGAGTTGGGCCGAGGTATGCCGGTTCGCGACGCTGGCGCCAGAGTAGTGCAACTCGTACACTGAGGAGGGAGGCGAGGTGTACGAGGGCGCCAACAGCGTAGGCGAGGAAGCGCACAAAGTGCGGCTGCGTCGTGTGTGAGACACAGTTGCCGGTCCAAGGACAGTGGTGGTCCATTTTGGGAATACAGCTGGCGACGCCGCGGGCCGGCGATGGCGTCAGCTATTTTTCTCGTTTGTCGTACGAGTTCCCTCGGGGTACTCACGTGCCACAGCTCCGACAATGATGCGCTCGCGGCGGCTTGATGTTCTGGCACAGCTTGCACCAGCGCCGGGCTAGCAATGCGTCCGGGGCGTCGGTCTGGGCAAGCGCATGTCGCACCCAGCCTCGAGGCGCGGCAGACACTGTACAGGCTCGCCCATAGCACCACCAGACACCTAGCACCAGAAGATTGAACAGGACTGCCTCGCTAGTACTTAGCGGACCTGGCTCTATGTAGAAGAATAAATATTGCGGCGTGTAAGCAAGGAATATAATCAAGATTGATACGGCAGGAATCGCTAGACTCGTAAATGAAGGAACTGAAAAGGCGCGATAAATAGACATAGCGGGTGATGCATTAATAGGAAGAATTAATCTCCCGTCGGTCAGGTTTGTTGGGTCCTAGGTGTTATGACGAAGCGAGCCTTTCAAGTCGGGTATCATGCTCGTGCGTATTGGGCGCCGATGGAAAAACTTTTATCCGAAATATCTGATGACGAACGTTACAAATGATCACTACGCAAAAACGAGGAGCCCAGTACAATATGAGGGCAGAGCTATATTCCTACATAGGATAAGAGTCTTCATAAAACATAAGTATCATCCGGGCAAACCAAGCTACGAACAACTTTCTCTAGAAATTTGATGGTCAAGGTATCAGCTCATGGTAATTGTGGAAATCCTTGACATTTAGCCTTGTGGCTCCAGAACAACACTCTCATACCTTTCAAAGATTTATGGGTAGCTGACGTACCGCCATTCAATGATATAGAATGCACGTCCTACCATACATTATCCTGGTGCTTCATTTTCCCATTTGTTGTAGGGGGGTAGACTTCGTCAGCTCTTCATCGATCGCAGACTTAGTATACAGTCTTAGCAAGGTTCATCTCAATCGTACGAATTTTCTCGTTCGATGCTTAGCCCAGCAGTTGTTCAATTGCACCCTGAACGTTTCCACCACTTCGTCGTAGTGCAGCGACGTTTCGGTCAAAATCAAAGAAGCCCATATCATTCAGTTGCCGCAATTGGTTAGCATAAATTTCTTCGGGGGGCCTTGTGTCAGCTGGTGACAAATTATCAGAGATTGAGGCTTCTTGTCCTGTTCCAAGTGAGGCCATTGGATTCACCCCCGGCGTATTACCCGCGAACATGCTGTTCATGCCACCGGCCTGGAGCATTGCTATAGCATGTTGCACCATCTCTGGAGTCATCGGGAGCATTGGGACTGAGCTTTGATTGTTGCCAAAAAGTGAAGCAAAGGGATTCTGAGGATTTGTATCACCCGCTGGTGGTGAGCCTTGTTCCATAGATGTGGGAACGGTCGGTACTTGTGGTGAACTCTGACGTGGTAATGTCTGACCTCCCAAAAGCGCTGCGAATGGATTTGTTTGAGAGACGGGATTAGCACCTGGGGTTATATTTCTAGGAGGCATGTCAGTCGGCATATTATCAGTGATACCAGGAGCCGGGAAGGCATTGGCTGCTGCTGCATTCCCTCCTACCAGCCTTCTCATAGCTGCTGCTTGTCGGATTGTCTCCGGATTGGTAATCATCCTTCGAAATTCGGGAGATTGGAACATGGCTCGCGCTTCCGGGTTGTCCCGTAGGCCTGGGATAGAGCCTAGTAACATATCTACCATTGATGGGTTGTTCAATAACTCATTCATGGTTTGAAAGAAGTTTGGATCTTCAAGTAAACCCGCAACTTGATCTTCACTGGGAGGTACGCCCATCTATCCAGATATTAGTATCCTAGATAGTAGATGGAGGAAGCATGAAACACTTACACCTCCGTCTGCTCCAAATATATCGGCATTCGGAAGCTGAACATGGCCTGCGTATCTGGCACCAGTCAGCCCAGCAAGTGGGTTATTGGCAGTTCCAGCTGCCATGTTAGCCGGTACACCAGTAGATTCCGGACCTGTTGCGCTAGATCCAGAGTTTGCCGGCCTTGAAGAAACGTTGCTAGCTGCACTTTTTACCATGTGTATTGTATTTCCATTCTTAATCTTGTATGTACTCAGTGGCTCAGTGTCCTTCATTACCCTACCTGAGTAGATCAGGCGCATTCTATCAGCAGAAATACTCTCATAATCCGTGCCCGAAAGTTTTGTCTTAAGATCCAGAATGGTTGTAGAGTCTGCCACAGTTATGGTATGGCTCTTCTCGCCTGAAGTTTTGACTTTGAAGGTGAGCTGGGTTTCGCCCTCATTGGGTGCTGTCTCCCCTGACATGTTCGTGAATTCTTTTGAGCAATAGAAAAATCCTTGATTTGTGATGTCAAGGTAAGTTCGCTCAGGGTGGAGGAGATCCGGTGGGGGATGCTGCAGGTCGATGACACTTATTTATCACAGGTTGAAGTTGGCAGGGGGCACCTGTACTGGGTACCAAGTTCAAGAAGTCCCTCTCTGGAAATCACCTATGCACTTTCCTCACCAAATCTACGATCTGCCCACCATAGTATAGCATTCTGAAGGCTTACCACCTATTTTGTCAAGCAATCCCCCTTCTGACTCAAATCATTATGACTTTTTAATTTCACACCGAATATCTCCACATAACAGCTCAATCTTATGTTAAGGCTGAATTAATTGGAAAACGCCTTTCCATTCTCCTGCGTAGGCTTATGCTTCAGATGGCGATTGAACTTCCACTATTAATACCAAACCTGATTCCAACCTAGTTATTCTTAACGAAGCTAGAAATTAAATTATGGTAACAGAAATTCATCAATTAAAAATAACTGCTCACACCTCGGCAGACTTCACAAGCTTGTGACAAGAATTGCTCAGCCCCAGCACAGCCTAAGAACAAATATCAATAGCGGTCGTGGGTCTCTTACCAATTACCTTGTTCCCTTACAGATAGCAGCTATATATGGAAACTAATCTTCTCCGCATTGTATCTCGAGTGTAGAATTTGCAAGCGTAGTGCTTTTATTCAGATCAATTCCATCAGAAAATGAGAATCCTGAGCTCGAAATGTACTAACGCATACTCAAGGCAGCCCAAATCTCACATCTGACTCAGACAGCTGCAAAAGAACAATCACCGAGACTCATTATACAGCATTAGGAACCCTTAGACTTTCAAAAGCTCATTTTATCTCTCGTCATTAGCTACATTATACCTTTCATGCAAATTGGTGGCAAGAAGGGTTTAAAAGATCTAATCTAAGCAACCCTGCTTGCTTTCTGGCCGGTAGATAGATAAAGGCGATTTATCAGAGAACGAATTGGGATTCACTCTTATTATTCACCGCTAGTATGCACCGAAAACTATATGTGACAAGCTCACATAGACGATCATAACGTCAATAGCGCTTAGTCGGTCTAAATTTTTTATTTTGGAAACCCTGCTCTGGAAAATTGGGCAATTGATAATGTGCTTTTTATTCAATATGAACGCTCAAGATACTTTGGCATTAATTTTACGTATGAATGTATCAATTAGGTATCAGGTAAAAACCATACACCCAGGAGGCATGTTACGGATGTGTGATCCCTAAAGACTCACTTTTACCTATACGTCCAGCTTTCTAGGCCGACTAAGCACTTGAAAGAAAAGATAAAGACAATTTTCTAGACGAAAACTACCCCTCGCCATGCCCACTTTCGTTTCAAATTGCTAGAAGAATCCAGTATCTCGACAGGGATTAACAATCTCGGTGTGAAAATTGCCCTCCGTAACGTCTCTTAACGGTTATGTACTAAAAGGATTTCTCCTATCCGTTTTCTGCCAAAATAGCTCGTCCTCTTAGTGATAGTTCATGTCTGGATATCCTCCATTGTTACAGAGCCGTTCGGCACTCTGCAATTGGTTTTAATCGTGTTGTATCGATATTTATTCCGTTATCTGAGCAATCGGCTATCTGACACATAAGGCTTCTATTGACTTTAAACACGCTATGTACAGTCCTCATTTCTCATATGTTACTACAATTTGCAATGATATGTTGCCCTTGACGGATAGTTATTCAGCTCGTTCTTTACCCATGGAATTCACACACTTTTTCCATGGAACCTGCTACCAAAAAAAATAAGTCCAGGTGCCTGTTATGGCTATAAACGTGCGGAAGATATTCATGTGGATAAATATCGGTGACTAGCGATGTGAGAGGAGAACAGTTGTGTGAGTTGGGTGCAATAAACTATTGTGTGCCAATCCACTTTCTGCCAAGTTGATTATGTGGACTATGTAATCTCCACGTGCATGGTTCGGCTAATTTACTAAGCTAGCTCCTGACAAATCCCTAGGTACAGTCAGACCCCTGTTAATATGACGTAAACGGAGCCGTGAAAAATATCGTCAGACAGAGAATATCGTTGCTCCACAGTAATTCCCTATTTTGGCGGCATTTGTAGCACCAATCAAGCAAAAAAACCCTGACTAAGACGAAATTCAGAGGCTGAAGAACGATAATCGTGTAATCGGGAAATGTAAGGGAACGAAGTCCGTTCCGAAAAAAATATCGTCTTAACAGGGGTCTGACTGTACACCATAACTGTACCGCAGCCGAACAAGGTGCGCACGTCCATCTATATTTCCTTTCTGTATAATATGAGATGTCGACATAGTCCAAACCACCATTGCTGTAACGCGTGCCGGGTATATTCCGGAAAATCGCTGGATGGCTTCTCCATAATGAGAAAGAGCGGGTGTGTTCCGGATTTACCCGCTATTGGTCGTCCAGTCTGACCTGTGTTTTGTTTTTGTTTGTATCTTCAAGGTCCTAAGCTAATGCTCCGGGTCCGCTAAGGGTACAGGACCGATGGAGCCGACGGAGATCACTGCGTACAGGCCCAACTCAATCCAACCGCGTGAAACAACTATCCAAAATTTAGCCAGTTTAAACTTGACTAACTTTAATAGAAAAATGCCGGCAAAGACGAATTCTTCACCTTCCAGTGGTGCAGGTGAAATCGCTCAGTATACTCTGCATATCTGGGATAGCCAAGAAGAATCGCATCCGAATCGAAGTCGAAAGCAAACACATGCATATCTCCATTTGACGACTTCTCAACCACGCAGCACTCACCATTATATTCTGAGTCCTCAACCCCGATCTAAACACATATCATCTCGCCTCGCCGACCGATAAAGGCGTCTCCCCAATTGCAAACAGGAGCTTTCCTCATTCATCGCCGGCCATCACTCACTACAAATTTACGACGCTACGTATACCTGCAAGGAGGAAATTAAGTCATAATATACAAAGCTGGGGTCTTGGTTTATGGGGGACTGCTGCTCTAATGGGGTTACACATCTTGAGGAAGGACAGGCGGCTGAGATGTGGAGCGAGAGAGGAAAGAGGTCTCTCAAGACCATGCTGGGACTGACATATTCCAGGAGTTTTCAACTTTGGATTTTGTGTGTGCGCCAAGTCCAAGATTTCGGCTAATTAGCCAGGAGAGCTTCTTCTTTCGATGAGCCAATGGCACTCCCCAGCGCCCTGGACGGCACAAAAGAAGCCGGGCTAAGCTACTATACAACAATTACGCACTGTCAAGACTTTTCTGACGTTTCAGCACGACCTTCGGGAAGGAGTTGGAAGGAGGCTAGAAAGGCAGAGGGTGAATTCTCAGAGGTACCCACAAGTCTGCAATGTCCAGTTTGCCGGGCTCTTCGAACGCATTAGAAGGGCCCCTATGTCTTCGGATCTAGTCCTAATGTTGGTATTAGGAGAGCTCCGCACCCAGTGGTTTTTTTGCGATTTTTCTCGGCTGCCATACACCCGCAAATGGCCATCGTTTCGTTGGCTGGAGAGAGGAGATGATGAAGGGCAAAGCGCTCCTCTTGGTGTATGATCGAATGTGGACTTGTGAGGGGTGGCACTGTTTGAAGGGAGCTGTATGGGAGGTATAGGTATCCTTGGCCTATAGGCAGAGAGGACCTGCATGTCCTACACAGTCATAGACTCAGACAGGACAATAAAATGAATTAATAAACCTCAGACTTCACCCATGTGTTGAATCATACCAAGCTTGTACGCCTAGAAACCTGCTGTATACACACTGTAGCGCAAACTCCTTCTCAACCTCGACCGCCACGCACCAGAGCCCTTGACAGCCTCATTGACTCCGAAATATAAATGTATTCCCAGATCTCATCGTTGCTCTTGCCTTGCACCTTCATATCGTACCTCGGGTTGTTGTCGTTATTGAGAATTTGCGTAAACCCCTCAGTGTATATTCCCTTTTTTTCCTTCTTTATACACGTTTCGTTCCCATCATGACTTTCCACATTAGGGCGTGTGTAGGTAGGTGATGTGACGGGTATGCAGGCGGGTCGTAGGCGTAGAATCGGCTAAGAAATGGATCGTCGGAAATATATAACTGGTTTGAGAGATGTCAGATGTTTGAATACGACCCCAGACAGACTTAGGTCTATTCGTGAATCGTATATTAGTGGTAATGGGCTTTCGTTTGGCTTTCTTGCTGTTGTAAAATCTCTGTCGACTGATATTTCGACCTAAATAGCGAGTACAACTCCAAGCCGAAAATCCACTGACTAAAATTCATCCCACCCTTTTTTGTGACTTAATTTCGGCTCTGTAAAAATGTTGCACTCCTAGGCTCGAAGAGGACACCACCGACAGATGTTCAGCCATTGTCCTTCTACTATAGAGTGTTGTTATCCCTGCTCCTGGTTCATTCCCCAAACATGATCTTTACTGGATCCCAATGGAAAAAAAACTCGACACCCATTAGCGGTGTCCACTACGAACATCTAGCTCTCATTGTAGAGACTGCAGAGCCTAGACCGAAAAATGTTTTCCTTCTCTCCTCGATGAGCATCTCAAACTCCACGGTTTGTATTATCCTAATCTCTCTATACAAATTCCTAGCACCAGTATCAGAAGGCCAATCACGACCAGATCAGATAGTTAAAGTCGAAGCCCTACTCATCGCCCTGCAAAGGGTTGAAGCAGGTGACACTATAAACATCGCCATGGTTGGATGGTGCGGTGGTACATCGTCTTGGCCGGTCTGCCAAGTAGAGTCAGGATAGCTTGGACGCGTATCCCACTTGAGAAAGTAGATCGCTGGTTCAAATCCGGCAAACACAACCACATTTCTCGCGGCGCTGGTTTACATGGATGACGTAGGCATGCTTGGATAACCAAAGGTTTTGAATTTTCTTTTGGTGGATACTTACGGAGGAGGGTCGACTGTTTGTGTAAACGAACATACCTCATAGTGGTATTTGCGAATGAAATTCAGAGTATGAGTGTC